TGGAAATTGCGTAAATTACTACTTCCGATCTACGGAAATTGCTCAAAGTGTGAGAGGAGGCATAGAATTAGATATTTTACTTACATATAAATATTTATTTACCTATCTTAAACAGTACTCAAGTTTTAGGCTTTTGAAAAATTGAAAGAGGAAAAAGTTCGACTTCTGGTTATCGGAAATAGCTGAAAAGTTGATACAGAACTACAAATTTGATATAATAATTGCATATGAAATTTCATCAAACTAGCTGTAACGGTAGGCCTACTCAAGTTGTCTTGTTCACATACACACACACACACACATACGGACAAAAATTGCAAAAATGTTTTTCCGACTCAGGGAGGTGTAAAACGTCGAGATTTGTAAAAATCCCGCTATTTTATAGCACAATTAGAATACTTTTACTATACTTCGTATACTAGAAAGTAAAAGACATTTTATTAAAAATTTAAAAAAAAACATGTAGATTTGCATAGATTAAAAGAAAAAAAAAGCGAAAATCTATAATAAAATATTATTTATCTTTCATGAGATCAAATTTATAGATGTTTAGACAGCTGTGAATTTTCACACTTTTTTGTGGTTTACATAGCAACCAAAGCTGCTAGTTGTAAAGTGTTTCTTATTTTTTCTATAGGTTAGGCACTATTGACATACGGATTTACTAAAACAAACTGAACTTTTTAATTTTTTTTAAACTATGGTACGTTTCCTTAAGTGCGTTGTGGTAATTGGATGGGACGGGTGGGGGTAGGGAAATAACGGTTCAAGGAGAGTAACATCACTATTTTTACAATTGGTGTGTTTCATGAAATGTAGGTGAATTGCAACTTTGTTTGATCAATATAGCCATCGTTAACACACAACATGTAATACGTTAAAAAGTGCAGCTGGATTCGACTTCATCACAAGCGTCACAACTCAAACATGTCTAGATACGCCCAGCCTACACACCTATACATTGTGAAAGTTCATAATACACAACACGTTAGAATGGTATTTATTGAATATTCACTCAGAAGCACTGTGTATGGAAACTACAGTTTTCATGGTAATTATAGCGAAGTATATTAGCTTAGATTGGTGGAGCGGGTAGTTTGCCATTTCTTATTCTTATAAATAAAAGATTAAGCACAATACACTTATTCTGGCTGATCTCTGTTTACGAAGGTGCACCGCTGACTTCGGTGGGTAATATTTATGTGAAAAAAAATCTTTTTTTCCTAAGCATGCTAAATAAAATCGTGGTTATGGTTTTTATTTATTTTTGTGTTAATGTTTGTGTTTAGGTTTCAGGTTGAGGTTTTAATAAGGATAATTCCAGCAAGTTTGATTTAAAATTTTTCTTTTCACACATTTCTGGGGCCAAAAATGAGTTTTAAACATTTATTTTAAAATGCTTTTTCTGTTCGTAAATGAGTGTATGCGTTATTTTAATGTGGTTTATCACTAAATGGATATATTTTGCTATGATATTGGTTAAAATACTTAATTAGGAATTTTTTAAAAATTTAGTGAATATATTAAAAAATATACATACATATAAATATATATTATATATATATATATATATATATATATATATATATATATATATATATATATATATATATATATATATATATATATATATATATATACAAGGGGAACAAAAAAAGTTTTTGCAGAAGGGGTTGGGGATTATTCATCTAATTCTGTATTTGCTCCCAACACACAAGCTGTAAGATAGTTTAATACTTGCTAATAAAAGTGTTCGACTTACCTAATAGTTCTTTTTGTACCTGAAAAAAAGGAGTATATATATTACTAATTTTAGTATATATATATATATATATATATATATATATATATATATATATATATATATATATATATGGATAAAATATGTAAGACTGCTGTTAAGTATACATTAGTGTATATACACATTAAGAACATTGTTTACCTGACATACTGATTCTTTATTGCTAGCAGCAAGTTTACTTATTTCAGTAGCTATAGTTCCCTTTAAAGTTGTTGTTACGTTTTCTAAATAACAAAAGAGCTCCATAAATAAATAAAGATAAAAGAAAGAATGAAAGAAAGAAAGAAATGAGTGAGTGAGTGAGTGAGTGAGTGAGTGAGTGAGTGAGTGAGTGAGTGAGTGAGTGAGTGAGTGAGTGAGTGAGTGAGTGAGTGAGTGAGTGAGTGAGTGAGTGAGTGAGTGAGTGAGTGAGTGAGTGAGTGAGTGAGTGAGTGAGTGAGTGAGTGAGTGAGTGAGTGAGTGAGTGAGTGAGTGAGTGAGTGAGTGAGTGAGTGAGTGAGTGAGTGAGTGAGTGAGTGAGTGAGTGAGTGAGTGAGTGAGTGAGTGAGTGAGTGAGTGAGTGAGTGAGTGAGTGAGTGAGTGAGTGAGTGAGTGAGTGAGTGAGTGAGTGAGTGAGTGAGTGAGTGAGTGAGTGAGTGAGTGAGTGAGTGAGTGAGTGAGTGAGTGAGTGAGTGAGTGAGTGAGTGAGTGAGTGAGTGAGTGAGTGAGTGAGTGAGTGAGTGAGTGAGTGAGTGAGTGAGTGAGTGAGTGAGTGAGTGAGTGAGTGAGTGAGTGAGTGAGTGAGTGAGTGAGTGAGTGAGTGAGTGAGTGAGTGAGTGAGTGAGTGAGTGAGTGAGTGAGTGAGTGAGTGAGTGAGTGAGTGAGTGAGTGAGTGAGTGAGTGAGTGAGTGAGTGAGTGAGTGAGTGAGTGAGTGAATGAATGAATGAATGAATGCATATATATATATATATATATATATATATATATATATATATATATATATATATATATATATATATATATATGCTTACTTACTTACGAATTTTAGATTTTCAACAAAGAATCTACCCCCTCTCAGCATTTTTATTAGATTCAGCATAAATATGGATGAATATGTCTAACACATGGTTTTATTATTATATGTTTTAGGATAGTAAGAACCTCCAAATAATTATTAAATCACAAAATATACTTTATGAAAATAAAAATTGACCAGTTTACTTTTTACTTTCTCGTATACAATGTATAGAGAAAGTATTGTAATAGTGCAAAGAAAATCGAGATTTTACAAGTCTCGACGTTTTACACCTCACTGATGCGGAAAAACATAGTTTTTTAATCTTGTCCGTATGTCTGTGTTTGTATGTGTATGTGTGTATGTGTGTCTGTGAACACGATAACTTGTGTACCATTACAGGTAGTTTGATGGAATTTAATATGTAAGTACTATATCAAATTTGTAGTTCTATATCGACTTTTCAGCTTTTTTCGATAACCAGAAATGTTTTCTAATTTCAATTTTTCAAAAGCCGGTAACTAGAGTATTATTTGAGATAGATTAATGAAATTTAACGTGTAACTAAAAGATCTAATTCTCTGCTTTCTGTTACATTTTTAGTAACTTCCGTTGAACGGAAGAAGTAATTTAGGCTTTTTCCGATTTCTCAAAAACGCCTGTGAATTTATGAAGTACTAATAATATTCCGCACTATTATACACTTTTTATTTAGCGCTCACTTAGTGTGCGATTCTTTTTTCTACGAGATTCTATTCTGTTTTAAAAAGTTTCAGTAATTAAAAATGGATTAAAAATTATGTCTATATCCCGAGTTGCCTTCCCCTGTAATGTAATATAAGAATAATCGCGAAAGTTTAGAGGAGATCACTCACGGTTTATTTATAATAGTTTATGTGAACAATATGTTTTGTTGGTATACATTTTATTTTAAATTTAATTGTTTTGTTTAAAAACAAATTAAATATTTTTCTTATCGATCTTGCGTCTTGGTATTGTAGTTATTGATGAGTATATAATAATGCTATTTTAGATTTAAATAGTATGAACAATTATTTTTTTTTACTTGTGTCCAAGATGATGAATAGCGTTATTCATTTTTAGAAACAAAAATGTAGATAAGTATTAATGTTTCGGGCTTATTGTATGCACTTTTTTACCAACATTTTGAAAGCATCTGTTAAACAAAAAGTTAATAAATGTCTAGACTAATAGCATAATCTTTACTAATTTTAGCTAAACAGTCGGTTTTATAATTTATCTAAATATTAAGTAACAATTTTCTGTATGATGTAACCCGTACACTTACAAATTTTTATATTCTAAAATATTAGTTTATAGAACCGTATTATTGAAAAACGGCAGGTGATGTGTACGTTAATTTTTAGAATTTTATAAAAATAAAAGCCTACGTATAGATATTTTTAGAGTATCTTTATGCTTTTCTATTTCAATTATCTTTTTTTCATTTAAAGAAAAAATACATGTTTAATTTAACAATTAAATTTGTTCATGACTATATATTAAAATGCCTAGCTGCTATTGGCGGTCTCTAATAAAACTTAAATAAAGTAATGTCACAACATTTGTAAAGTAAACAATTGCGTTAATTTATTTCAATTTTTGTAAAATTTTGCAAAAGGAGATAGTAAAATAAGACTAATATAAAAAGGAAACGTCAAATCTTATAACACGAGAAAAATGACCTGCTGAGGTAGAAATACAACGGGCGCAAACGTGATAGTGTTGACATTTCTCTAAACCAAAACTAAAACTAAAATCACCACCTCAACTTCATATTTAACCTGAAACGAAGAATGTCTTGAAACACTGATTTTTATCCAGAGTCGGCACGTAGTAACAGCACATTAATACTAAATATAGTCATAATTATAGCCCTAAAACTTGCACCTTAGCTCAAACTTTACAAAAGGCGAATTTAGAGTTTCTTTCACGCAACCTTGGAGGGGGTTGGGGGTAGGGGCAGAGTCCCCCAAAGAAAGTCTACCGACCCTCTAACGCACTGGTTCCCAGGGGGGTCGCGAAGGGCTTTCTTGGGGGTAGCCAACTGGTATACTAAACTTTAGCAATGAGAAACAAAACATCAATATTTTGAAGAAATCTGAAATTCCGCTTACTAACATTACTGGAAATGGAATAGAGAAGTAACAATGCGTACTGTGCGTACTAAAACATCAGTTGCGACGAGTCATTCGAAACATACCAAAAAAGATATGGAGTTGATTCGTCGGCATGAATTAAAGAGTGGTTGGACAGAGTATCATGCCTAGCAGATATATTCCAACATCAACATAATCTCAGGGTATTTTTATCAAAGATGTAAAATTGGCAAAGAAAAAATAAATCTTGGATATATTGAAATTTGAGAAACTCTGCAGGGAGGTAGATTGATCTGATTGTGAGGTAATTTAAAAAATTGAAAGAAGCGATTTCTGGGCATCTTCAAGCTCTTGAAAAAGAACTGCCGCGCTATTTTCCTTGAGCTGAAAGAAGAAGAATCTGCATTGACACGTAACCCATTTTCTTCTTCCCTTGATATCGCCAGCATTCCCGATTAATTAGAAGATGAATTCGTTATGAAAATTGCCTGTGGCTTATCCATGTTTTATGAGTAGAGGGAGCGGCAAGTACACCTTTTTCTGAATTTGTCTGAGCACGACATGGTCTATACTGGTGACACTCATATCATACTTCAGTCAGCAAAAAAAAAACGTGTAAAATGTGTGTCACGTCGTAAAAAGACAATTTAATTGAAAAACTGTTTAACACACACGCCGACCACGAAATAGGCGCCTTCTTTAACTAAAAGTTACGCCACTGATCGCTGCACATATAATACTTTTAAAAATGCGGGAGTTAACTCTGTGACGGTAATACTATTTACCACCATCTTGCCTGGCCTACGATCCCAGTAGTTACTCACATTCTAATTCCCCACCACCACCCTCCACTTTCTGTCGGTTATTTTAGCGCACATAACTTTTGTCATCTGACTTAGCGGCCAATGATATCATTGGCTTGACCAACAAGTTCACACCTAACGCACCGTCCAGTCTGGATGGAGGGACTAGTCACGTGATATACAAAGTATTGGTGTATTTAAGGGGGACGAAACCCAGATCCGTTCTCTTACTCTTACTCTATATTTCGTTTTGCAAGCGGAGTTCATGTCGACGGCCGTACTCTTACGTGCTCTGGGTATAGTTTGACTTAGTAATTTCTTTTTTTAGTGTAACAGTTTTGATATGCATAATATGTGATTATCATTGTAACAATTGGTTTCAATAAATGCCATATGTATTTTCTTGCTGTGATGCATTATACCTTAAACTGTTACCATGTTCGTGGCTTAGTACATTTGACAGTCGATAACTTAACTGATTTACTTAAGTAAGCTTTACACTGCCCGTGTCTTACCACACGGGATTATTGAGTACTTATTTCACTTAAAGTATTCCTGCCAGTGATATAATTCCACGTGGCAGTTGAGTAGACATTTCAGTTACCGAAAATGACACTTCCATCCTGCATGTGTATCAGCCATAGAGCAGTAGATACAACAATATGATACACTGTATCATTTTATTTTACAAAAGGCGGAAAACCCTTGCATGACCCAAGTGGTAATCAGACCAGGTTGTTATTACTTTAAGACAGAGGCGTAGCGACCCTTCCCGGCGCCCGTGGACGAACTTTTGATTTGCACTTTCGATTTGCACCCCCCCACTCAAACTTTCGAAATGCACCCCCCTCAAGCTTTCATTTTTATTTTTCCAACCTATTTTGGCGCCCCCTAAGGTCGGCGCCCGGGGGCATATGTCCCCCCAGCCCCCCCTCGCTACGCTACTGCTTTAAGGATGTAATCTGTGCACATAGAATTGTAGCGAAAACATCAGATCTTTTGCTAGCCACTATTAAGTTTACTTGCTACGATTCCTTAATTAGCTTCTATTACTTTCACGTGACAGTCGAATACATATTTAAAAATATGTTTGCTATATTCCCAGTAGAGAAGTGGCTCAGACCCTCCTACAGGTTAAATTTACACATTTTACAGATTATTATATTTTCATTGTAATTAATACATGTTACCGTTGACAATCTCCCCTAAACTTTCTCGAATATTCTTATACAAATTTAAGAGGGATGGCAACTCGGGATATAGACATTATTTTTTAATCAATTTTTAAATACTGAAACTTTTAAAAATAAAATTGAATCTTGTAGAAAAAGAATTGCGCACCAAATGAAAATCAAACAAGATGTTTATATTATTGCGGAACATTAGCACGTCATAATTTAAAGAGTTAATTATTCATCTAATTAAGTAACAGTTTATATCACAATACATTGTATTTGAGTCTTGACCTACGTGACAAATTTAAACTAACTCGGTCCGGTAGAAGTGTTCGCATTTTTCCGACTGTAAGGGACGTTACACAGAGAAATCATGTTAAAAATAATTTCATATGCGTCTTCTGAGAAATAGGAAAAAGCGAAAAATGCTACTTGAGTCACCGGAAATGACTCAAACTTTAACAGTAAATAGATAATTTGATCTTTTACCTAGATGTGAAATTTCGTCTACAAGAAAGAGTACTCAAGTTATAGGCTTTTGAACAAGTTCCACTTCCGTTTACGGAAATCGCTGAAAAGTTGAAGCAGAACTAAAAATTTGATATAATATTCATATATTTATATATGAAATTACATCAACCTAGCAGTAATTGTTCTCACGTTATCGTGTTCACAAACAAAGAGACACAAAAACACAAATACACACACGGACAAAGATACAGAACTATGTTTTTCCGACACAGGGAGTTGTAAAACGTCGAGATTTGTGATATCTCAATTTCGATTTTCAGCACGTTTATAATAATTCCTCTATATTTCGTATACGAGAAAGTAAAAATGACATCAAGGACTTAATTTTCAAAGAAAGATAATTTAATGATTGTGAATAGAAATTTAAGTCGACCTACCTAAATTTGATAACTTTTCTACTACTGCTTTTACCTGAAAGTTCAATTATTTCAAAGTTTTATTTTATGAATTTTATAATTATCACTGAGTATTAGTAATTAAAGTATATATATATATATATATATATATATATATATATATATATATATATATATATATATATTGTGACCTACTTAGGTCTATTTGCTTTATGTATATTTAATCTCCTGAGTTATGTATTTGACCTTGGGAGAATTGTCAGTTCACTAGTACGAATCGGTCAACTGAACTCTGTCACATCATGTGATTGTATGTTTAATCCCTGGCAGATCCTCAACCAATGGTCTTGCGACCGTGAGAATCCTTGACAGATCCTCAACCAATAGTCGTAAGACTTGTGAGTTATTTCCCCTATTATTGAATGCTATTTAATCTCGGGATTCTCAAGTTCAAAGGCAGCCAGATTGACCTTTGGACCAGGAGAGTTGTGCCAGTGGTTATGTACGCCATTTTGCAGTATTGTCATTATGTGACATGATTTTCACCTTTGTATAAGGAATTATGTGACTAGTTGTAGTTTACTGAATATTTTGTTCTGGTGTATTATTACACCTTTTTGATTACTTCGGTAATAGTTAGATCCTTTATTTGGATTTCTATTGTTGTAGAGGCAATAAGTCTCTTCTTGGTTTTTTGTGGTAATTATGATGCCATTCAGTTGTGTGTAGTAATGATTTATTGGTGTATAATATACTAAGCCACAGCTGTGATATATTGTGATTTTCTCAAACTGTAAGTTGGAGATTTTGAGGTTATTTATTGTACTCATAGAATCTATACATTTTGATCTTACCTAGTGTCATTATCTTGTACATAAATTAAAAAGGTATTCATAGTTTAAGTCGTGTGAGTCTCTTCGATTTGTCGTGTTTTACCCCTAGACAGCATTAACGAGCTCACGGCAAGTTGTTGAGATTCCGTTACAACGTCTTCTATCGGTACCATACCAAACGAACCTGGGGTGTCCGCTCCCTCCGCGGCTGTCGGAGGTCGGACATAACAAGTGGGGGCTCGTCCGGGATTTTGATTTGTGTGCAAGTTTGGCACTGGTTTGAGTTTGTGATCTAGAGTTAGGTCAGAAGTTCGAATAAGTTGAACTAGTTTCTTGGTTAGTTGTTTTCTTCATTAGTTGGTAAACTTTGTAGCTATGGAGGCTTTGTTGTTAAGTCCTACTGTGGAAGCAGTTGAGAACTTAGGCAGGAAAGATTTGATAACAGTTGTCAAAAAGTTAAACCTGGAGTATGCAGTTACGCAGACCTCTAGGGTGTTGAAGGACAAAGTTATTGTTTACTTCATTAATGAAGGTATGTTAGATGAGAGTCTCCTTTCTGAAGTTTTGGCACGGGAAGTGAAAATTGTTGATAGGGAGTTTGAGGCCAGACTAAAGTTAGAAAGAGAAGTTCAGATGAAGCGGTTAGAGTATGAGTTTGGTAATATTGGCAGTAGTTCGAGGTCAGGAGGTCCTTCTCAGTTGTCTGTGGCCCAAACATTGGCCCAGTTTTGCAAATTAGTCCCTAAGTTTGATGAGTCAGATCTTGTTGTATTTTTTAATACATTTGAGAACATGGCCGAAAGTTGTCAATGGCCTAGTAACGTAGTCACGACGTTACTAAGCACTGTTTTAATTGGTAAGGCTGCCACCACATACCAGGCACTCTCTCGCGAAGTCCAGTCAGATTACAAAAAGGTCAAGGCTGCCATTCTGAAGGCTTACGAAGTAACTCCAGAAGCCTACAGAACTAAGTTCAGAAAAATTAGGAAACAACAGAACCAAACCTATGTTGAGTTCCTTTTTGAAAAAGAAAAAGTCTTTTCAAGATGGCTCCATTCTGAGCATGTCGACGACTTCGACAAACTCAGAAGTCTGATACTAAGAGAAGATTTTCTCAACGCAGTACCTGAAGAGATCAGACTACACATCTTGGATAACCGAATAACAGACATCAAAAGGGCAGCAGAATCAGCTGATACCTACGAGCTGGTGCATAAGAAGTCACAGGGTTCTGGTACCAAATTCAATCCGGTACTCCCTCTCATCAGCAGCAATCCCCCTGCTGGCCGGTTGCTGAGATCTCGTCAATCAACACAGATACCCAGAGTCACAGCCAGGCGACTGATCTGCCACTATTGTTCCAAGCCTGGGCACATCATCAAGAACTGTTTCCTGCGACAGCGAGACAACAGAGAGTATATACGAACATCATCTCGTAACGCTCTCCCCCATCAAGCAAGTCCAAAGGTGAACCTCGCCCGTCGTGATGACACTACACCTACGTGTCCACAGGGAGGTAATGAAGTGCCAACCACTTTCGTCCAGTCATCTTATGACTATCCTCTTCACCAACCGGTTACATCAGCAGCAACCAATTGTGAAGAATTGAGAACTGTTGGCTTCACGTCATTCATGACAGATGCTGTCATCAGCAACCCTGGAGATCCAGCATCATCGCGGAACATCGTAGTCCTAAGAGACACTGGGGCTTCTCAGTCACTTTTGCTGAGAGACTCATTGAACATTGCACCAGAAACCAACACCGGTGATGTCACCATCATCCAAGGAGTGGGAGCTGAACCAACCATAGTTCCACTACATAAGTTCAACCTGAGACATCAGCTCATCCAAGGAGATGTCATCCTTGGGGTGATCGATTCCATACCTGTCCCAGGGGTACACTTGCTCCTAGGTAACGACTTAGCGGGAAGCAAAGTCCACCCCCAGGAAGTTCAGAACCCGTTCTCTACAGACCCCGACGGTGAAAATGAACTGTTCTTTTGGCCGAGAATGCACAACGATGACACCCGTTATTGCAGACATTGTAAGAACTGTCAGTTGGTTGGGAATCCCAATCAATATATTCCCAAGGCCGATAAAACCGTTTCCTGTGCTAGACGAAGCATTTAACAAGATTACCAAGGACTGCGTCACCTACTTCCCAGACCGGAGAAAGAAACAACTGGTTTATCATGTAAACTCACTATCTCTTTCTCCACAGCTAAGTTTATGTTACACATAAGTATTTCTAGTAAATTTGATGATGCTACTCTTAACAAGTTAAAGGCCCCAAAATTGTTAAATACTAAATTTTTGGCCCATTTAGAAGACCAACGTGTACGTTTATCTTCTGATGAGAATCAGAAATTATCACAGGTAGTTAAAACTTTACACTCCATTCTTAGGGAAGGCTGGTTATTATAGACGTTTTTGTAAAAACTTTTCAGCTGTTGCCGCCATTGAAAAAGAAGCTTTAGCTTTGGTTTTGTCCTTACAACATTTTGAAGTCTATGTCACTTCTTCCATCAATCCAGTCATGGTATTTTCTGACCATGGTCCTCTTAAGTTCACTACTAAGGTGGGACAGAATAACAATAGAATTTTAAGATGGTGTCTATTTTTCCAAAACTTTAATCTGGTTATTTCCCATATTAAAGGAACTGATAACATTGTAGTTGACTGTTTGTCAAGAATGTAGAACAACTTTTGATGTTCACATTGATCTTGTGAAACTTTTTTGGTTAGTTATAACCATTTTGCAAATGTTATGTTTGATTAAACTGTAGCCTAGTGGCTGGAGTTCCAAGCTTTCAATCAGATCAGAATTGTATGGTTTTTTCAAAACTGATTACTTGTTGAAAATGCCTGTTATTTTCAAATGAACCTTATTTAAAGGTGGTTTTGTATAATGTGCATTGAGTTGTTATAAAAATGTATCACATTATTCAGTTGATGTTGTAGTGGGACTTTTAAATAAAGGAATTAAGTTGTAAGTTTCCCACATGTTATATCCAGATGGATATGTTTCTATTATCCTTACATAAGGAATTTTGATGTATTATTATTTTGGGAAGGATTGTTGCCCTTTGGTAAATTGTAAAAAGGTTAATTGTTTCCCTTTAATTTCTGAGGATGTTTTTTTCCTGATATAGAAATTTTGTTAATTACTATAATTGGACATTTTTTGTGTCAGATTTGTTCCATATAGTGATTGCCATTTTTGTGTTACACAAAAATGGCTCTCTAAAAGGGAGGGGATGTAACCTACTTAGGTCTATTTGTTTTATGTATATTTAATCTCCTGAGTTATGTATTTGACCTTGGGAGAATTGTCAGTTCACTAGTACGAATCGGTCAACTGAACTCTGTCACATCATGTGATTGTATGTTTAATCCCTGGCAGATCCTCAACCAATGGTCTTGCGACCGTGAGAATCCTTGACAGATCCTCAACCAATAGTCGTAAGACTTGTGAGTTATTTCCCCTATTATTGAATGCTATTTAATCTAGGGATTCTCAAGTTCAAAGGCAGCCAGATTGACCTTTGGACCAGGAGAGTTGTGCCAGTGGTTATGTACGCCATTTTGCAGTATTGTCATTATGTGACATGATTTTCACCTTTGTATAAGGAATTATGTGACTAGTTGTAGTTTACTGAATATTTTGTTCTGGTGTATTATTACACCTTTTGGATTACTTCGGTAATAGTTAGATCCTTTATTTGAATTTCTATTGTTGTAGAGGCAATAAGTCTCTTCTTGGTTTTTTGTGGTAATTATGATGCCATTCAGTTGTGTGTAGTAATGATTTATTGGTGTATAATATACTAAGCCACAGCTGTGATATATTGTGATTTTCTCAAACTGTAAGTTGGAGATTTTGAGGTTATTTATTGTAATCATAGAATCTGTACATTTTGATTTTACCTAGTGTCATTATCTTGTACATAAATTAAAAAGGTATTCATAGTTTAAGTCGTGTGAGTCTCTTCGATTTGTCGTGTTTTACCCCTAGACTGCATTAACGAGCTCACGGCAAGTTGTTGAGATTCCGTTACAACGTCTTCTATCGGTACCATACCAAACGAACCTGGGGTGTCCGCTCCCTCCGCGGCTGTCGGAGGTCGGACATAACAATATATATATATATATATATATATATATATATATATATATATATATATATATATATATATATATATATATATATATATATATAAGCGGCGGGTAGTGTGTCAGTCCGTCCTTCCTCCTGCCGTAATCGCTATAGATTCTAGAAATGTAAAAGTAAACATCATATGCCGTGCATTTACTTGCTTCGCATTGTCTTATTATAACTAATGGAGTGGGGTCTATTCATGTAACAACTTACAATTTTTAACTGTTTTCAGCTTCTACTATTTTGCATTCGTTAACAAAAGAACATAAAGACAATATCAAATACACGCACATCGCTAATACAAAGTTAACGGATCAATGTCTTTTAATATTTCCGCTTAGATTTTTAGAAGAGAATCAGAAAATTAATTATAATAGTAGTGTCGAATAAAACTATTTAATTAATGTTTAGTTAATATGCCAGGGGAGGTAATTTAAAAAGTAATTCAACGCAAGCTAAATATTACTATTTAAGTTATTTTTTTTAAATTCCTACCGCGTTGATTATGTTAAGGCTCGTAATTAAAATAGATTCATGTTATTATTATTTATATAATTTCCTAATTAGTGGGCACAGAGTTTTATAGTTTTTTTTTTGTTTCTATGATATCTCAAAATCACAGTTTTTCGCTTTGATTTTCAGTGCTATCTAAACTGATGGTTAAACTAGAGATTGTAGGAAATTCTTTTTCTTGTAGAGGTTGTCTGGGAAACCGTAATTTGATAAAGTGTTTGCGTTTATGTTAGCGTGATTATTTAAAATGTCGCGTTTGTGTTTGTTTTCGGTTGTGTTTTCTTTTGTATTTATGTTTGTGTTGTGTTTGTGTTGTATTTGTGTGTTGTTATTTTGTGTTTGTGTTGTGTTGTGCTTGTGTTGTGTTTGTGTTGTGTTTGTGTTGTGTTTGTGTTGTGTTGTGTTGTGTTGTGTTTGTGTTGTGTTTGTGTTGTGTTTGTGTTGTGTTTGTGATGTGTTTGTGTTGTGTTTGTGTTTGTGTTGTGTTGTGTTGTGTTTGTGTTGTGTTTGTGTTGTGTTTGTGTTTGTGTTTGTGTTGTGTTGTGTTTGTGTTGTGTTTGTGTTGTGTTTGTGTTTGTGTTGTGTTTGTATTGTGTTTGTGTTGTGTTGTGTTGTTTAGTATTGTGTTTGTGTTGTGTTTGTGTTGTGTTTGTGTTGTGTTTGTGTTGTGTTTGTGTTGTGTTTATGTTGTGTTTATTTCTGCTCTTCTCCCAAATTGGTACATTTTAAAAGATTTACCGTGGCGGAGCACAGTTATGCAGCAAATATATATATATATATATATATATATATATATATATATATATATATATATATATATATATATATATATATATATATATATATATATATATATATATATATATATATATATATGTATATATATATATATATTAAAATATGTAAAATGTATGTAAGTAACTGTGTTCATTCAGTTTTTTGTAGCTTACCTCTTGTGTTATATCACTTAAACTGGCATCCACTTGAAGTTTTATATCTGTTGTATTTTTTTCTATATTTTCCATCGCACTTTTTAGTTCATTTTCTAAAGAAACGTAAAACATTATAAACATGTTGCAAGTAATATGATATGTTAATAACTTACATGTCTCGAACGCAAACCAACATATATTATAGGCGTGAAATTACACGTCAAACTAATTACCACCCGCCAGTTACCTTTTAAGGTAAACTCGGATTTGTATGAAAGACGTTGGGATTCTAAAAGTTGACTAATATAATTTTACAAAATACAACGCTGATCGTATTTCTTACTGTTCTATGAATTATATATACAGAGGCGTAGCTACCGTAAAGCTAGCGTAAGCAATGCATAGGGGCCCGAGGCAAATAGGGGCCCTTTTCCATCTTAAAAAAATTAAACTTTTTCATTGGAGTTTTAATATTTGTTTTATGTAGATAATTTTAAAAATAAAATTGAAATACAGTTTCTTGAACTCTCCTTATTGTCTGTAAAAAATAAGAATTATAGCTAATATTCAATTGCCAATAAACAACTGCTTTAACCTGCTACGTATTTAAATCACTGTCAAAACCTGCTAAGTACATGAAACACTTTCAAAAACTGCTAAGTAAAAACTTTGTCTTTCATTATCAAAGGCTGAAATTTTCTTTAATTTTATTTTGTTTGTTCCAAATGATATTTTCTAAAGTATTCGATAGTGTCTATCTCTGTTCTACATGCTATCAAATGCTTATCAAGGCATATATATATATTTTTATTATAAAATACAGAATCGGGTTTATTATTGTGTTATAATGTCTCTATGTTAAAATCTATTTTTTTCCAACTAAATTCGTTAAATATTATACCAAAAAACTTACCAATCAGATGTATCTGTTTGGATAATTTATGAAGCTGAAACAAAGTAACATGTAAAAATTTAATATATAACATCTCCCAATATGTAGTTTAGAGAAAAAAAACTCATCTAAAGTTTCATGGGGTTTGATTTACCTTATAAAAATGTTTAACTCATTTATTTTATTTATAAATTGTCAAAGGGCATTAAACAAAGGGCATTAAAGCTATTTTTAATGACTTTATATAGCAATAGAAGCCTGAAATAATTGTTTTTCACATTTGAGATATAACAAGTTACGATCAACGAGATTATGATTCGAAAATTGTATAATGTTCTAAGTCAAATTTAGTTTTCTAAAACCAGTTTCAACAGCTTTTCAAGAAGGACAAAGTTCTTTTTATATGTAATAATGTGTTTTTGCATGAGTAATGATGTTCTTTGGTATGAGTAATAATGTATGAGTAATATCTTCTGGTTTTAAATCTGATTTTCCCTGGTCATTATTAGTCATTTTTGATCATCCCTCCCCCATTACAAAAAGTAAATATTAGTGTACACTACATTTACATGTAATGTTTTTACAGTTCCTTACAAGTGGGACTGTGCATAAAATTGTTAAATTTGTTCTGTAACTTTGGGTTGTCTGCATAGATTAAAATAATTTAATTTAGTAAGTGACGACACTAGGTCAGTTGAAACCCGAAGGTTTTGGTTTAGTCTCACCCTCTCCCACTACAATTTTGTTTAAATTTAACTGTTAAATAATTAAATTGACTGCAAATGTTGGTGTTTTTTTATGTTGATGCCGCCCTCTAAAAGGCGTCACAGGCGCGGATCACATCATGCCTTGTGATGCCACTCTGGATTCAAAGTATCCTATGAAATAGTTTCACTGTCTGTTTGTCCGTTTATTCGTCCGTCCGTCCGTCCACATCCATCCGTCCGTCCGCTCACCCGTCCATACGTCCATCCGTCCGTCCATCCGTCCATCCGTACATCCATTCATCCGTCCATCCGTCCATCCGTCCATCCATCCATCCATCCGTCCATCCATCCATCCTTCCATGCATCCATCCATCCGTCCGTCCATCCGTCCATCTTTCCATTAATCCATCCATCCATCCACCTATCTATGTATATATGTGTTGGTAACGCTCCACGCAAACCACTTTTAAGATTAGGCACATTAATTAGGCGGTATTGTCAATGATTTCATTTGAGAATTTCGATGACGTCATTTCTTTTGAGTGGGGGGGGGGGGGGGCTTAGACGTTCTTTTGCGGGGGTGGGGCTTCGTCCCTACCCGAAAAGTTGCATGAAAGAAACTATTCACGAAAACCACTTTTAAGATTAGACAAAATTGGTTTTTAAATTCATTGTTAACTCGAGAATCAATGACGTCACATTACTGTGTGTACTTTTCCGGCTAGAGACTATTTCTTACTATTTCTTATTATAGATAGACAGACAGACAGCGCAACTATAATTATTACGAGGTAAAATGCCCGTTGAGGGAGAGATACAACGATCGCTAGGTTGACAGTGTTATCTTTTTCTCTAAACCAAAACCAAAATCACCACCTCAACATCAAATTTAACCTGAAACGAAAAATGTAATTGAAAACGGATTTTTATCCAGAATCGGCATTTTAATCGGATTTAGGCTTGATCTACTTGTAGTTAATGCACATCGATACTAAATATAGTCGTAGCCATACCCCTAAACCATGCACATAATCTCAATTATGACAAAAGTGGCAATTAGAGTTTCTTTCAGGCGACTCTACTCTACATTCAGGCCCACCCCCCCCCCCCCGCCCCCATCCCCACACACACCCCAAAGCACGTCTACCGTCCCATTCAACGAAATAAAATTATATACTTTTACCAGTGTCCGTCCCCTTACAGAAAATTTAGTCCGCCACACTCACGAAAATTTCAAGTACCCACCTCCCCCTCTGGTCGCATTTGTAGATCATACTTAATAAAGGTATAGCCTACTTTTATAACATAGACTCGTTTCCTACTTTTGGCCGATAAACCTTACTCACGCAGTCAGTGTTTCTTTCAGACCTTTCGTGAGCTGTTCGAATTACTAAAAATATGTTATTTCTCAAGGCTAGACATAGTTTTTTAGAACATGAAGACTTCCACATCATTTAAAAGCTATAATATTGGTGAACATTGGGACAATTAGTGAGAAGTGGGACGGAAGAAGATAAATTTCGACTGCAAAACATCAACAGTACAATCGATATCTTTTAAAGGATTAATTTTGTAATTTGATTTCAAAAATTAGCATTAAAATATAGACTAAGTACCTGACTGTAAAGATGAAACTATTGCATTAAAATGACCACTTAATGTGAGATACTAATAACTGAGGTGTAAAATGGAACATTGTGTCGCCCTTCTCGCCAAAGCTATTTCGGGGTATAATTTTGTTTTAAATTTTCGTTGTGATTAGTACATGACTTAGTCCTCTTTGCTCCTTATGGAGCATAGGGCCTCCACCATTTCCTTCCATTTCTTCCTATCCTCGGCTATTAATTTTGACATCTCCCAAGACATCCCTATTGGCTTCAGTTCTTCAAGAAGACTCCGCCTCCAGGTCTGTCTTGGGCGCCCTCTCTTCCGCTTTCCCTGGGGGTTCCACTCAAGCGCTTGGCGTGTAACATTTGTGTGAGCCTTTCGCAGTGTGTGACCCACCCAGCGCCACCTCCTCCTTCTTATTTGCACACATATAGGCTACTGCCTAGCTTTCCTCCATAGTTCCAAGTTCGGCACTTTGTCCTGCCATCTCAGTTTCAGTATCTGTCTAAGGCATATATTCATGAAGGTCTGTATCTTTGCTGTGCTTGCCTTGGAGACTCTCCATGTCTCTGCTCCATACAGCAGAACTGCCTTGACATTAGAGTTAAATATCCTAATTTTTGTGGTAATGGAGATGGCCGAACTTTTCCATATGGGTCGCAGGACTGTGAAAGCGCAGCGGGCTTTATTAACTCTAGCGCGTATGTCCTCCTCTGTGCCTCCCGTTATGCTGATCTTGCTGCCAAGGTAGACAAACTCTTGCACATGATTTACCTGTCTTCCGTCTATTGACACTGGAGCCTCCTGTTTATTGTTAATTCTCATCATTTCCGTCTTTTCTTTGTTGATCTTCAGACCTACGCGCTGCGAGATGGCTCCTAATGCATCAACTTTTTCTTGCATGTCCTGTAGCCTGTGCGAGAGTAAGGCAAGATCATCTGCAAACTCCAGATCTTCTAGTTTCCCCGTGAGTGTCCACTGGATACCTTTTCCAGAACTGGCATAGACTGTGCGTGTCACCCAGTCGAGAACTACCAAGAAGAGGAGGGGCGACAGCAGACATCCTTGTCTCACACCTGTGTTGACCTGGAACTCTTTAGACAGTTTCCCTGCATGGCTAACTTGGCATGAAAATCCATTGTAAAGTTGCTGGATTATTTCCACTAACTTAGCAGGTACACCATAGTGTCTCAACAGATTCCATATTGTTTGCCTATCCACACTATCAAAGGCCTTCTCAAAGTCAACAAAGCAGATGTAAAGCGGGGCTTGCCATTCTATCGTCTGTTCTACAATAATTCTAAGAGTGGCTATCTGATCTGTACAAGATCTTTCCTTCCTGAATCCTGCTTAAGGTCAACCGCCTCTTTCATTCTGTCCAAAATAACTCTGGTAAGGACTTTACTTGGTATGGACAACAAGGTAATGCCCCTCCATTTTCCACACTGAGATAAGTCACCGTTCTTAGGCAACTTCACAAGGAGGCCCCTTTTCCAATCGGTTGGGATCTGTCCTGTGTTCCAGACTAAGTTAAGTAATTTATGAAGTCGATTTACTACTTCTTCCCCACCTTGTTTTAATGCCTCTGCTGGGATATTATCTGGCCCTGCTGCCTTGCCACTCTTCAAACTATTTAAGGCGTTGAGAATTTCCTGTCTGGTGATTTCCTCGGTATTGATGTTAAGGGGTTCCCCTGGCTCCAGGTCTGGTGGATCTTGAGGTGCTGGACTGTTTAGTACTTCCTGGAAGTGCTCTCTCCATCGTGCCAATTGTTCCTCAATTGACGTTAGAAGTTTACCATTTTTGCTCCTCACTGGCCTGTTGGTATTGGTTTTCCTCCCACTCAGAGCTCTGGTTGTTGCATAGAGCGTCTTGAGATCTCCCTTACTGGCAGATGTTTCGGCCTGCTCTGCCATTTCATTTATAAACAATCTCTTGTCATTTCTTAGTTTCCTTTTCACCTCTTTAGCCTTTTCGTTATATCGAGCGGCTGCAGCTTGTTTTTGCTGCCGTGTTTTTGCTTGAAGCAAGATTAGTACATAAAATACAAAATTAATTCAATAACATCCTAAAATGAATAAAGAACTTACCATAACAATAGAATAATCAGAATCAAAGAAATGCTCACCATATCGAAAGGTTTGTGAAGATACAAAATAATGTTTATATGCGCATTTTTGTACAGCTAAAAAATACCCTGTTGCTAGCGCAGGAAGAAAGTTATTGATAAAGTGTCGCTTATAGTTTTATGTTTTCACGCAGGTACTTTGACTTTTGGCTCAAAATTACCGGAATAATGAGCTGCCCCACTTCTCCTTATATATATATATATATATATATATATATATATATATATATATATATATATATATATATATATATATATATATATATATATAATTTACTTACCAGTAGGTTAAACTCTTTAACCTGTCTTTTATTCTCATCATTTTGTTGAGATTGTTGATCGCCTAAACTCTCAAGTTGGCGTGAAGTCTCAACTTTTAATTCCTCGACAGTTTTAGCGAGCATTTGTAGCTGTTGTACGTAACTGTTGATATCTAAGTCTGTGTAGTTCATATTTTTTGGAAATTCTGAGTTCTGTCTAGAGGGCATGCTCAGGATGTGTGCGAACGATTTGGCAACATGTAGAACTTCCAATAAATCATTTTTTATCCCTTCAATATCACGCCCAAGCTTCCTAATATATTCTATATCATGTTCTACAGAAAGACGACGGGGTAGTGCCTCAATTTTCTCAGCAAGCATAGAAAATTTATGTTGAAATGCTGTTTGATTAAAGATCCCTGAAAAGTTATAAGGCGTAATTTATTAAGCTTTAAATATTTCAATGAGTCGAGAAAATATATCATGTTTCTTACTATTCGGTTGTGTAGTAACTGTAACAACTCACTGTGGATTTGTGGGCTAAGAAAGACCTACATATTTAACTACGGCAATACAAATCCCATCGATATTCTGTTAGTTTAGTGAAATCAACTAGTTAAAAGAAATCCAATGCTTTTAAAAATAGAATTATTATTTTAATATCAAAACAGTTAAGATTTTAAATTTCAATAGTGTTATTTTAGTAGAAGTTTGTCTGTGCATTTATTGTTTCTTCTTTAATTAATAAACACACACATAAGCACACACACATCCACATGCATATAAATAAATATATATATATATATATATATATATATATATATATATATATATATATATATATATATATATATATATATATATAATTTCTTTAGTAAATATGGAATGGCGTAGTCTGATAATAGGGCGTATGGCAGTTAAAGCGGTAAGCTTAAGTGCAGATCCCGGGCTTGTGTCCAAAAGACGTTCAAAAACTCACAAAAAACCTATAGATATCTGATAAAAGAAAAAAAAAGACAATAAAGGTTTACCTTCGGTTGGCAATCCTACGCTGGAAACACTCTCGTTTTCAACTGTATCCTCAATGTCTAGTGGAAAGTCCCTTTCAGCACCTCTATCTTCATAAATACATAAGTGTATATATATATATATATATATATATATATATATATATATATATATATATATATATTTATATATATAGCCTATATATATATATATATAACAAATAAAGTTTTTATTCATTGAGTTGCGGCCCCTGTGGGGCCGTAGCCCTGTTGACGTAGTTGTGTTGCATGCTCATGTGACATGGGACTATGTGTAGTTTCGTGTCTAGCCGTGTCAGCACACGTAAGGCTGCTGTCTGTGGACACGGTGACGGTACCAAGATGTAGACCTAATGAAGACTCTCTTTTTTACAGTTTTGTTTTTCTTTTTGCGTCGTACTACTGTTGTTCTACATCGCCGTCATGGCTCGATGTACTGTTGAATAAAGCCAGTACTTGACAACAACTGTCGGTGTCAGTGTGACCTAAATCTCAGGGCCAGCCCGTCTAAACCACTGAGTGAGGGTTACGCGTATATATATATATATATATATATATATATATATATATATATATATATATATATATATATATATATATATATATATATATATATATATATATATATATATATATATATATATATATATATATATAAGCGGGCAAGTAGTGTGTCAGTCCTTCCGTCATCGCTATAGATTTTGAAACCATAAAAGTAAACAGCGCACCATGCTGTGCTTTTCAGTGCATCGCAGTGTCTTATCATAAGTATAAGAGCAGGGTTTGTTTATATAACGACATAGAGCTATTTTATATTTACCACTGTTTTTACTCTTTTGCATAACGTAAAGAAAATATTAAATACACTCACACTGCTAAACATATTAAAAGTATTAATGTCAAATATCATTTTCGTTTATATTCCCAGAAAAAGTGGATACATTTCAATAACATAATAACAGTACGGTAGAAAAATCTAATTAATTTAACTCTTTTTTCTAATTTTGACAAAGGAGGTAATTTAAAAATACATTAAACTCACGCTAATAAAAATGTGAATGCAAATATACGGTCGTCATAGATGGAATTAGTGTTGCAATAATATAATTAGCAAAATGTGAATGCAAATTATGCGGATGTGTAAGAGGAAATTATTGTTCGAAAATTATAATTAGCATGGGTTGATAAAAGGCAATCTTTTATTTATTTTATTCACTGAATGTAGGAGTAGGCCCTACTGTTTATTACTTATAATTTTTAATCAACTACTCAGCACTATTATAGACGCGTCATCACGTTCATTATGTGCGCAATGGTTTTAGTTATGAAACTCTATTGTAAATTTTTTAAATTTAAAGAACTGGAAAAAAAATTCGTGAATGGATAAAGAGAAATATTGTAGGTAAAACACGGATATTTTAAATACTGCCTATTATTTATACTGTTTACTAATTATTATTCTATCTTTCGGTTTGCGGACAAGCTAGGGGTTTTATAGGAGAGGCGTAGCGAGGGGGGGGGGGCATACGTCTCCGGGTGCCGACCTTAGGGGGCGCCAAAGTGGGTTGGAAAAAATTTGCGAGGGGGGGGTGTTGGTGGAAATCGAAAATTTTAGAGCGGGGGGGGGGGGACAGGGGTGCAAATCAAAACTTTTGTGTTTATGTTATGAGTGTTGTGTTTGTTTTTTCGTTGTTTTTTTTGCGTTCGTTTGTGTTGTGTTTAGTTTTGTTCTGTTCCCAAGTTGGTACATTTAAAAAAGATTTACCGTGGCGGAGCACGGGATGCAGCTAATATATATATATACGTATACAAATTATTATTATGTCTAAGAATTTTTATGTTTCAATGTGGAAGTTAACTATCTTATGTAAAGTATCCCTCTTTAGAATAATTGAATTAGATCGACCACTTTCAGATGCAACAAAAACTTGATATTTTGAACGGAGATAGCTCTCTTGCAGAAGAAATACAATACGGGGTAAAAGAAATTAAAAAAAAAAATTTACAGTTCAATTTTAATTAAAATAAACCGGGAGGGATCTCCCCTAAACTTTCTCGAATATTCTTATACAAAAAACAGTGGATGGGAACTCGGGATATAGACATGAATTTTAATCCATTTTAAATACTTAAACTTTTTAAAATAGAATAATATCTCGTAGAAAAAAGAATTGCACACCAGTAAACGCCAAATAAAATGTGTATAATATAATGTGTATATAATGTGAATATTATTAGTACTTTATAAATTTACATTAGTTTTTAAGAAATCGTAAATAGCGTAAATTAGTACTCCCGATCAACGGAAATTAATCAAAATATGATAGAAGATATAGAATTAGATCTTTTACTTACATGTTAAATTTCTTTTATCTATCTGAAATGGTACTCAAGACATAGGATTTTTAAAAATTCAAAGTTAAAAAAGTACCACTTCCGGTTATCAGAAATCGCTCAAAAGTTGATACGGATCTACAATTTCGATAAAATACTTATATATGAAATTTCATCAACTTAGCTGTAACGGTACTCCAGTTATCGTGTTTACATTTTAAAAACATGGGAAGCGATAAAAAATATAATTACATTTTAAAAACTAGAGCTGTTTGAGAACCATCGATTACATTAATTTTCAATATTTAAAAAAAAATTGAATATAAGCCTTTGAAAAGCCGTTGAACAATATTTTTCAATTTATATATTATAAAAAAAACGCATGCAACCTCTCCTTTAAGTCAACCGAAATAGCCAAGGAGAGTAAAACAATGAAAGTTACACCATTTTTTTCAATGATAAAATACACAATAGTTGTCAATGGTGTATAACCTAGTATTGTATTTATATTAAATATTATAGCGTCCCCTATCACCACAACACCCTGGGTCTTCTGATAAAAAAAATTAATAAAAATGTTTGCTAAATTACTAATATATTACTAGTAATTATTTGTTTGAATATTTCTAGCCTTAATAAAACGGGAAGTCATTTTTTACTTATTACAGAAATGTGATAAAATATTAATTTTTTTTTTGAAAAATATGCTTTCTGGCAAAAAACATTTGGATCCAGGTTTTCAAGTCTATTCTGACCAGTAGATCTATCAAAAAAATGTGACAAAAGTTTTTATATATATTTAATGTAAATGTAACTGCTATGCGTGCACGAAAAAAGCCTGATAGTTTTTTAAAAGTACCACATATTCAAACAAGCGGAATTTTTTTTCGGGTCCATGAAAAATAAGTAACGAGAGATTTTATTTAAATGGTTTGTTTCTGATGCTTATCATGTTTGTGTAATGAACCGTGATATTTAGGATGGCACGTGGTGTATAGGCTTATTTTTAAATATCTTGTGCAGTTGCTGTTTTGAGCAAAGCATTATGTAATACTCTTTAATTTCTCTTTAACCATTATGTAATATAACAAATGTATGTGATTTATATTTGGGCATGGTTTTAAATTGCTGAAGCAAAGCCTAGCCGATAACGGCTGATTGTGTAATAAAACAAAAAGTTTAGCCTTGATTCTGATTATATGCTATACATTTCTAGCATATCGTCGTTTATAATCTGATAAAAAAAGATCCTCTTCTATATTAAACGTCCAAAAATAATTGCTCTATAATAAACAGGTGACAGAATTTTAATCCATGTAGATAGTGAAATAGCACAATTGAGAAAACAAAACTTTGAAATTTTATTCGAATACTGTAAACATAAAGCTAATTATTATTTTACTTAGACTCACATGTAAATTCGTCAGGGTTTGCTTTAATTGAATGATACGCATCACTCAGTAGGTTACATACAGATTTAAAATCAATTTCCTCTGTGCCATTTCGTGACTGCTGAATCCAATTTGTTGCACGCGTGATTACCTTCATGTTCGTTAGAAAAATATTTAGAATAGTGAGCAAAAGTAATGGAAGTCTTGTAAAAGCTCTAAACATATATGCATAAATTAAAATAATAATTATAAAATGTCAATTAATATACTCTCATTCTGTAAGCCATTTATCTGGATACATATATAGTTTATCCATATATTAAAATACTCACATTGTCAACAAATAAAAACTTTTCGGTAGGTTGAGCTTGTCGTTTAATCATTTCTATATAACAAGTTATGAATTCGTATCTTTCATCCATGTTTCTGTCTGTCACCAATTCACATTATTTGCTATATTGTCGTATCATTTCGGCTTTGGAAACTAATAATTTTACAAACAAAAAGAATACAAATAATGTTTACTTACTGTTTGAGGATTAAAAATGAATAATAAAAAAAAAAAGATGGAAGGAATTATTAAAAATAAACCATTTAAAGGGGTTTACAAAAAAATTTGCCATAGTTTTACATAAAACAATTCTACTAGAACACGGCTTGTAAAAAAATAAGATTGTCAGCAAACGTGTAAGGGTCCTGTTTCTTTATAGTTTATAAAATCGATAACGCGTTCCCAAAACAGTGTAGACTATAATATATTTAACTAATCAATAATCGATCTGCTATAAATCAATATTAACAAGTTAAAGTGTGAATTAAACAGCTTTCACCATTAAACAACAACTACTCAATAATTCTAGAAATGTTCGTTACAATTAATTCTTTTAATCAATATTTTTTAAATAAACATAGAATGACGTTCGCCATGTTAATTGGCTAGAGAATTAGTGATCTGCAGAAAATATATTTGTAAGGAAAATTCACTTTCGGAGTAAAGTTCACCTGTTTCTGTAACCTCGTCTTTTGAAGAGATAGTGTGGTCAGCAGTATGGTAATTCAACTTTACTTTCCATAACGTACGTCAGATACCCATCAGACTTTGGTGTACTCAGGGCAGTGTTACGTTTATGGCCAACGATTCCAGCTAAATAAGTACTAGCACACAAGTCACGGCCCTCTAAACATACCGTCATCTCAAATTCTTCTTCTTCTTCTTCGTTCTTAATTTTTAGTGTTGAGGCGGATCGAGATTTATCTGCCAGTGGGTTTTGCCGACTCGACCACGCCTCCAACACAATTAAGCGTTACGTGTCAACTGGTTATGCGCCATTGAGGCCATTGACTCCGATTTCAGCCTGCTTTTCTTTTTGGATTTGCTTCCGTAGCCTTTGTCCAACCAAGAACAAACTACAAGGCAGCAGTTGTTTAAATTTGGAGTTGTCTCTCCTAGAAGAGTGGCTGTCCCCAGTTAACGAGCCTCATCTGCCCGAGGGTTCGAACTCGAGACTTTTCGGTTTAGCAACCATGAGCTTTACCGACTCGACCACGCCGACCCCGTCATCTCAAATGAAAGTGCAGGGCCCAACCGGCTAGTTAACTAAATAATACGAGCTGACCCTCTATTTAGTTGTTTTATTTTCTACTATCAACAATTCATAATTTGTAAATTCAACACTACCCCCCTCATATATATATATATATATATATATATATATATATATATATATATATATATATATATATATATATATATATAAATAAATAAATATATATATATATATATATATATATATATATATATATATATATATATATATATATATATATATATATATATATATATATATAAATATATAAATATATAAATATATATATATATATATATATATATATATATATATATATATATATATATATATATATATATATATATATATATATATATATGGAGTAGAAATGAGTTAATATGATATACAAACGAGTATTTTATTTTAATTGCATTGAATGAATATAGTTTTTACAAATTTACTGCATGTAATATTGATACCCGCTATGAAAACACGATAATGCAGATATATAAATCTTTCCTTACCTATCATTTCATCATTAACGTTGCCAAAGTTATGTTGTTCTGTTGAAGTTAGGTCTTGCTTTAAAAAAATCACTTTAATGGAACAGAAAACATCGCTTGTTTTTTTTTTTTTACACACATTTCAGTCTGGAAACTGCTTATATTCTTCGACAATTATTTAATATTATTTAATATGAAAATATAATCACCACTACGCCTTCATAAAAAATAAATACTTCTAGATTCCATTGTGTTGTTGGCACTGCTCCAACCTGTTCTATGTAGCACATACGTCCCACGTTTTTCACGCTCTGTTTACCCACTGACGACTACCTGTATGTGATTCGTACATGACATTGGCTACGTGTCAACTTCCAGGTAAACAGCCCCACTATTTCCTCTGAAAACAAATCTCGAAAACAAGGACTGGTTTATTCTAGCATCAGCTGTTTATATATTTTTATAGCCATTATTTTTGCAATCCTTTTATTACATGGTAGATATTATTGTTTATCCGTAGGTTTCCTGCAACTTATTTTTAACTTTCCTAAAAATTAAACTTTTATTTAAGCCTAGAGTAATTTAACTGCTGCAAAACAGGTTTCAATGATAAACAAAACTTTAACACATCTGTAACAGAGCTAAATTATGACTTTATGGTTTGGGGGTCATCCATAAATGACGTCACACTCGTAGGGGGGAGGGGGGGGTCCGTAATTTTGTGACGATGTGTGATGAGGGGGAGGGGGGGGGGGTTCAGATGTTGCGACGTCACATTTTTGCATTATAAAAAAGCAATGTTAGAAAACGAATTTTAGACGTTATTTCGCGTTTTAGATAACTGTTTTAATAAATTGTAATAGTTTAGACAAGATTTTGGGAAAATATCGATGTTTTAAAAAAATTCAACTGCAATTTTGAGGGGGGTTGTAGGTTGAGGTGTGACGTCATTTTAGGGGGGGGGGGGTCTGGCGTTTTGTGACGACGTGTGACGGAGGGGAGGGGGGGAGGTAAAAATCGTCAAAAAAAGCGTGACGTCATTTATGGATGACCCCTTATTAGCGATAAGCGACTTTTATATCATAATTACAAGCTTTTTTTCTAGATCGAAACGCCCGAGCAAATTTACGGGCAATTGTAAGATAAGGTTCGTAATTGGTACGTGGGTTAAGACAAGAAGAAAATGCAACATGACATTAAATTTGTCTTAATTGGTTGCCTAATTAATTTTTATGAATCAATTAAAATTTTGTCCAAATTAGTAGGCTGTCTCATCAACCTATTCCGCACTATTAGACACTTGTCATCACGTTCATTAGGTGCACAATGGTTTTTCGTCAAGCAACTCTATTGTAAATTTAAAACATTTAAAGTACTAAATAAAATTAATAAAAACGTTTGAATAAGTGTGCTTAACGCGAGTGCTCTTTTTAGAGCGTTGTGTGTATTTAAATTTGTATTCTTACGGCGGTATACTAGCCCCCCCCCCCCCCCACTAAAAAAAAATTACGGAACAGTTTAGCTTTTATTCTCTACGCAACAGTGTTGCTGTAGAAGTATCACTAGTGTAGTGGATCTGATTGTTTTCTTTACAAAACAACTATTCTATCAAGGTGCACAATGTTTTTGTTTTTGTTCACAAGTTGGGCCCCTAAACGCCTCCCACCACTTCCTTGGTCTGGCAGTATTGTAGTTCCGCCCCTGAAAAGAATGAAAACATTTATAAATAAGATGTAAATGATGTTCACGCAGAAGGTATAGTTGTCTTATGTGTAAACCAGGGATGGGTCGAACTAGCCCTGAGGTCGACATCGCGAGAAAAGCTTGGATTGGAAACCCCAAGGGAAAAGAAAAGAGGTCCGGGCTAAAGAATCATGGAGAAGGGGAACAGAAGAAGAAGCACGGGCTGATGGTCTTACGTGGGTGTAAATATAGGAAGCCGCCCAAAACTGAGTCAGGTGGGGATGTGTGGATACAGTCCTACGTCAACATGTTCTTCTCAGTCCTATGTCCTCGGGTATTTCACAGTCCTACGTCCTCAGGTACTTCACAGTCCTATGTCCTCAGGTACTTCACAGTTCTACGTCCTCTAGTACTTCACAGTCCTATGTCTTAAGGTACTTCACAGTCCTATGTCCTCAGGTACTTCACAGTCCTATGTCCTCAGGTACTTCACAGTCCTATGTCCTCAGGTACTTCACAGTCCTATGTCTTAAGGTACTTCACAGTCCTATGTCCTCAGGTACTTCACAGTCCTATGTCCTCAGGGACTTCACAGTCCTACGTCCTCTAGTACTTCACAGTCCTATGTCTTAAGGTACTTCACAGTCCTATGTCTTAAGGTACTTCACAGTCCTATGTCTTAAGGTACTTCACAGTCCTATGTCTTAGGGTACTTCACAGTCCTATGTCTTAAGGTACTTCACAGTCCTATGTCTTAAGGTACTTCACAGTCCTATGTCTTAAGGTACTTCACAGTCCTATGTCTTAAGGTACTTCACAGTCCTATGTCCTCATGTGCTTCACAGTCCTATGTCCTCAGGTACTTCACAGTGAAGGAATCCTAACACCTACACAGGTACATAAAATTTCAACAAGTTCTGTATACAATTACAGTTGTACATGTCCCGGGCGATACAAATTCAAAGGACTAGTTAAAAATTAGACCTCGACTAATAGAAAAACGACAAAAAATGTTATGACAAACTGACTCCCGAAATGGCTTCACACTGAAACTTTAAGTCTAAGTTTAAATATGAGAGGTTCAAAGTCATATAGTATTGTGTTAATACGTTTTATTGAAAGTAACATGACATAGCTGAACAACAACTGTCCCAAAATGTAGCCATCTAAACAACACATCATACATCATCAAGGCAGTTATTGTGGTATTAAACATTCGTTTAATTTCATGTTTGGTGTCATGCTAATCTTATATAACTTTATGGGATGTCGTTTTGAATACTCCTGAAGCCAAGTCTAACTTAACCTACATGAAATAGACTGTTTCGCTTTATAAAACTCTATCAATAAAACTAATTTTTAAAAAAGACAAATATTTAAAATTATAATTAAGGAAAATCCACAACTTTTAATGTTTTAAGTCGACAAGTTTTACAAAATCATATATTACACAGCTTTAAAAATATTGCAGATATTCAAAAATATTCTCTACTCAATACACAGTAAATTAATAATGAGCTTTATATGTAAATATGTACTGATTAAATACACGGACAAATTACATCTTTTTTATACAGGTTAGAACTGTGTCTGATTTAAAAGCTGTCTCACGAAAGAAACTGACACACCGACGTACAGATACACAGATGAAGTTTACAACAG